AGAGCTGCGATTGCTACATAATCAATATAATAAAGCCTGTAAAATCACGTCTTAGCATTCCAATTAATTCTAAAATAATTACAGTAAAATCTCGTTATAGTGGACTCGCTTATAACGGACGAGGTCCGCTGGTCCCGGCCGCGCGCAGAAAATGCATCGGATATAGCGGACTCGCTTATAACGGAATTTCGCTTATAACGGGCAAACAATTTGGTCCCCAGGGCCGCTTTTTGGCTGTAGTTTTGTTCCGCTATAACGGACATGCAGGCTCCGCCTACAAGGCGCGTAGCGTGCAGGTGATATCCAGCGGAGATATGTAGTTGGGATTATTAATAGTCACGCATCTGGTCAGGTGAAGTTGGATTACTATATGTACAATATCATAATCTATACCACGTGCAAGTTTGTCTGCTGGGGTGTGACATGAGTAAATGGTGTCCTGTAGTTGTGTTCTGGGCATACAGCAACTCTGGATATAACGACGGACTGTTTTGCCAGGTCCCTTTAAGTCCGTTATAACGGTATTTTACTGTAAAATCAAAGCATACGCATATTACAAAGGTCAAACATGATAATGCAATGACTGAAATAGAAAAAAAAATCCGTTAAAATAATATGAACAGGAAGATATATTTATATTTTGTTTAGTCACTGTCTAAAGTTTATTACTAAAATAGCAAAAACAAGATATGGTTATTTGTGCAGAACATTGCACACGGATGCAATTAATGGCATTATGATCAAATAATACAGAATAGCATTATACAGTAAAAATGACACGTGAACTCAGCCCAGAAGGTTCCCTGTTGGCTATGGGGATCGAACCAGGAACTTTCACATTGTAAGGCAATAGCATAAACCACTTTATCACCGTACTAGGCACTTGCAACATTTACGTAACTTACGCATTTAGCCTGTCTGCAATTCAATGCCAAGCCAACTCTCTGGCTGTAGTTATGGCCACAGTATTGCCTTTTTTAGCGATTACATCTTTGTATTTTTCATACAGCTCCATCAGCAGCGTTTGTTCTGCAGCGGAAAGAAACACCGCTCTCGTTTTACAGGCTTTCCGACTCATTTGGTCGATTTATCGTTCATCCATTCATTTGGGCTTGAAGTAAGACTATGCAAGTCTGTCTTGAATGAGCCTTGATTAGTTAAAGCTGAACTGCGTTCGTGGAACGAAATGAGGCTAAGTGTAGAGATGGTGCTTGGTTGAGTCTGACTTTTTCGGGAAAGTCTGCCTTTCTTTAGCTATTTTCATGGAATACCCCCCTGGCTCTGTACTTCAGACAAAATTGTAAGAGGGACTAGCTGCAGACGCCTGTAGATTGGAGCTCCACCAGACATACGTCACCTCCACATTCTGCGCCCTCTAGGGTATGTATGGTGTAACCTACAACAAACAAGGTGGCAGCGCCATCTTAAACATTCAACAGGTCATTCTCTATCCACGTCTTTAATTATGTTTTGTCCAGATGTGGTGTGACTGATCCTGGACAGGGGTCCCAAGCAACTCAGGGCAGGAGGACACCCAAAATATGCAACGGAAACCCACACAACTCAGAAAGTAGGAACTGGATCAGAACCCACAACCCTAGTGGTGGATGTTAACAGTGCTACCTACTGAGTCACCGGACTGAGTCACTCACACCCCCAACCGCTACAATTTCTAGAATGACTGGAAGGATCATATGGAAATGTAAAAGCCAATAAATGTGTTTGTACCCTAGTCATGACTCTGAAACTACACATTCATTTACAGGTATTGCACATTCCACTTACATGCCAATTTGCACGATCTTTCCTCACCAGGTAGGTGGTTACCTGTATTTCTTAATGTAGTCCTGTAAGTCTGTCTTAATGTAATCAGGTTCACCAGCCTGTTCTTTCATGTTCCACAACTGACAAGAATAGGGCCAAAATGACACGATCAAATTCCAACTAAGCAGCATTGCTTCAATTTTAGGAGCGATTAGTCAGAAAATTCGAACACTTCCAGATCGTTACCCATACAATGCACAGCTTGAAAAAGATCCTTCAACTAATTTCTGAGTTATCGCACTAATGGGCTCAAGTGCCATTTTGTTTGCTATCACTAAGCGATCTGTTTAAAAATTTAATCCATTCCAGTTTATCATATGGACAATGTGACTGCATACCTTGAAAAGGGTCTGTCAAATACTTTTTGAGTTATTGCGCTAGCAAAGAAGTGTCTGTGGCAGTGCTGGTGGACTGGTCCCAAAAGCATACAGTATGTATTGCCTAACCAAGGAATACAGATATATATAGGAAATGAGCGTGATTAAAGAAATCTAATACAAAATTATCCTGAAACATTCCAAAGTTATAAACTGTTTTCATAGTACCTCAAACCATGCAATTGGATCTAAGTTTCCTTTCATGGGTTTCTTTCCTTATCATATTTTTCATGAAATGTCCATATATTGCTATGGCATTTGTGTTATCATTTCATTTAATTTCAGTTTTGTTCACTCTCTGCTGTTTCCATGTTTTTGCACTTGCAGAATGGAATCTGCATTCCCATTTTTATCACTCGGACATTTGTTCACTCCATTCATCTGTTCCCTGATTTCCTCTTAAGTGAGTTAGAACTTGTGTCTCTCTCATTCGGTGAAAGCCTACCGGCCATTCGCTGGAGTCCACATTTAGGTTAGTGGGTGCTGCTCCAGTGCACACTGCCAGGTCTTTGCCCTCTGCTCTGAGGATCTCTTTTCTGCAGTGCAGTTAAGGGGAGCACAGATCTAGCCTAGAGGGGCAGCTCTCAGGCGCCTGACATGTCAGTGAATCCGCAGCACAACAGCCCCAATGCTAGTCTCCCCCTCCTCCATCAGGATGATGTACTGTATCAGGGTCCTACCTAAAGAAAGCCAGCATATGCGGTCCCCAAAATAATGCTAACATGCTAATGCTAAGCACATTCACTAGTACTGTTTTTTTTCAGCTGGGCGTAATAATACGATATGAAATATCCTATATACACACAGCCTGTGTGTATTTGTAGAGTATATTGTTCATTAAAATATTGAATTATTCATTATTATTAAATGGTAAAAAAATATGTATTATTGTCTGAATAACAGCGAGACCCTGTACGGGAAACGTAGTCCCTGGAAATGGATGGATGGACACTCAGGAAAGCACAATATCTTTATCCCTGTATTTTGATAATAAATGTTTAATATTTTCAGTTAATTCTTATTTATTTTCATAAAGATTTGTAGAGAAAAGTGGTTCTTATATGAAAATTGAATCCAAACCCTAGTGCCCTTTAAAGAGTTCTTAATATTAATGTTCATAATGGTAACCATAAGTTAATACTTAGGTTAATACTTTTGTTATAATAATAAAATAACTGATTTTTTTATGATAAAAGATGGATGGATGGATGGACATACTATAATGAAGCCAGAGAGGAGTTACCATGTTGTGAGGCTGACCAGGGGCAATTGATGAAAAAGGTCAGTTGTTAAACAGACTTTTAACACACTTCAACAGGCAATCCTGGCCATATGTCCCCCATCTCTGTTATCTTAGGGCTCCTAGCAACAACTCTGATGCCTTTGGAACATGTCAAACTAAAAGTGCACAGATTAATGTGTAAATAGATACCAGTGTTACCGAAAAGCCCCCTGCACATGGTTCCCGGTCCCTTGCCCCCCGCTGAAGGTAAGGTGGTGATGCGTACTGGCAAAGTCCTGCCGGGCTGAGCCTGTTAACCAACCAGTGATTCTGAGTGCGAATCCCCTTATTGCCTGCTCCCGATGTGCCGCAAGCAAGCAGCGGCCTGCCTGCAATCCGTACTGACAATTTATACACGCTCCCTTAGCGCTTAATTACACAGCGAGGCTCACTGCCGCGGGGCAGACCGCCGGCTCTGCACCCAGCGCCAGGTGACGAGTGCATAATCACCTGTTGGACACTGGGATGCGTTCCCACTACCCGTGGCTTCCTCTGAGCCGGGGGGGGGGGGGGGGGGCTGGGGCATGTCATTGTGTCTCCATGGCAGGCGGAAACAGAGCCGCGTGCTATCTGTGCTTAATGTGATGAGGTGTTATGTCTTTCTCTCCTGGCAGCCAATCGGCACTCCCCTCTCTGACCGTATTTATATTCTGATGAATTTCCTGTTCTCCTGATTGCCTTCACTGAGACCCTAATATCACGGTAATAATCACAGTAATTCCCCGATCAGCATGTAACATTAGTCCCAGTTCAATGGCACGCTCTGGTTTAGGAGCTAAACAAAGGATGCACATGAAGGAAATTCAGCCAGTAAGTGCTCTTGACTTTAAAGAAGATAGTGACTGCTTTGTGTTTGGGCAGATTATGAAGAGCATTGTCATTAAGAGGGCGTGCGGTAGCACCTCTGGGTGGTCTACAGCGCTGTAGCAGATGGAGATTTCCTTCTCAGAAGATGATGCCATTCATCTCGTGCCCCTGGACCGGCGAGGCGAGGTTCAGCGTGTGGGTACAGCAGCTCCCATCGCACGATTCCGGCCTTCGCATTAATGCCTCATAAGCTCTTTTCCCTCTCAGACCAGACACCCTGTCAGGCACAAGCAGCCCAACATAAACAGAGCACAGGAGGCGGGAAACAGGGCCTGACCGTGGTCTGTAAAAACAGGTCTGGCAGATCTAGCCGATAAGAGCCGGTCCTGTTTGGTCAGCCGTGTGGATTTTGGAGTAAAGTGAGTGATTCTGCTCCGCTTAAAACACCCGTTTCCCCCCTGTGTTGTTTTTGCGTCGGTCTAAACAGAAAGAAAGGCTGCCATATCAAGTCCTAATCCTGTTTCTGGCCTTCATTGCCCCAAATGGACCAATGACACCTTGTGAAGTTACTTGTTTGTATTCGCACCCTTTTTAGCAGAAGTAGCCAATTGAATGGCCTGACTCAAAGGCCCAGGAAGTTACCTGATCTTCACTTTCACACGAATAGTCGGATAAATCACTTGTGGGATGTAGATCTTGCTGAGACTCACCCACGGCCCTCTCGCGCTCCTGCAGCACACGGATGCTGGACAGCATGTGCACTCGATGCACACGGTTGTGGACGCCCAGCTGCTGCAGGTCCAGCTCCGTCAGGCCCAGCAGGTCCTGTGTGAAGGACGAAAGGGACACTATGAGTGCCGGTGCATGCTTCGGCCAGATGGGGGCGCCCCGAGCTCTCAGCCTCTAATCAGCTCCACTATGTGGCAAATCATAGGTCTGTATTCTATATAAGGAAAAGTGTTCAGACATGAAAACATACGCGGATCTGGGGGGTGCAAGCGATGGCCATGCCCCCTCCCAAACTGAAACCTGGCCACCCCATTGGCCACCCCCATCATATTTGCATTTTTGTGGAATTTTGTGGAACTTTTCTCTACAGCTGCAGTACACTGGGGAAGCATCAAACCTGTGCACAAAAACAGCACTGCCTGTCTTCTATTTCAATAATTACAGTCCATGGGTATCTAATACTGCCTTTTTGCATACTGTAAGTATTGAGTCATTGATATTATGTAAGGGTTCCAAAATATATTCATTTATTTATTTATCTTTATTAATATTTTCATTTATTTATTTATCTTTATTAATTTCCCCTTGCTGCAGCCTGTCAGCATGGCTAGAGGTGCAGTGGAACCAGGGCTGTTAGCTAACTGTGTCACAGTCTGTGCCTGTTGCTATGGTTAAGCTTTATGAAGCATGGTGGAATAAGGTTTATAACAAGCAGATTAATTGATAATATTCCCTTATTCGCTAGATGCCTAATATTCATATTTAAATTTATGTGTGTGTCCCCCCCCCAAAAATAACCACTGCTCTCTTTTTTTCTAGTAAAATTAATAATTTGCTGGTGGGGAGGTTCTTCATAATCAAATGACTACCTAGTGCATGATTGTTCCTCATATCTCGGTATTCCTCTGTGGGAATCTTGAGGGGAATCTCGCTGATCTTCTAGCATCCCTCCTTTTTATCCCTGCCCTGTTTCATGGTCGGCTGTGCCCATATCGACAGGTACTGTGAGCCTGAGGCTGCCGCCGGGCCCCTGCGATCCTCCTCTGACCCGCTATCACTCCGGTTGTCTTGCCTTGGCTGCCCCTGGATGCCTCACGGATGCTGGGACTTTCCAGAGGGAAAGCAGAGGGAATTGAGGCGGCCTGGGCGATGACTGTACCGAACACACACGTCTTGCAGTCATCTGCACCGCTTTGTATGCCCCCGCTGTGCATGTGCCGTCTTGTAACAGCGATTTACGATAAGTGTCTCCAGTAAAAAGCCAGGGTGGTTCAGGGGCTTTGAAATCACAGAAGGTGCCTGAGGATTCCTTAACCACGAGGCCTGCTTCAAATTCACACTGTCTGGGAGCAGTGAGCGCCTGCCCACCTCGGGCCCAGGCTGGATCAGGCCGTGACTGACACACTGCTTTCCAGCTCCAAGTAGAGCTGCTATCTGTCCTGTATTTCAGAGGATCATCCTGCATTTTATGGCAGTGCTTCTCAATCCGCTCCTCGGGGACCCCCTGGTCCATGTGTTTCCTGCCTCCCAGCTCCCTGGCAGACAGTCCACATTACTGGGAGCTGGGAAAGAGCGAAAACGTGGACTGGTGTGGGGGCCTCCGAGGACCGAATTGGGAAACGCTATTTCATGGGATCGCTCTGTTTTGAAAATAAAATTCTGTGTCCAGTTTTGAAGCTTTGGACCAGTACGGGTCATAATCTGTCTTGTATTTCATGATGTGCCCCCCTCCCCCCCCATGAACATCGGGGTCCCAGTGTGCGGGGGGCTGAATGTTTCCCACATACATAATATCCTTCATCATAAGTGTCCCCACATTCTGTGCTCTGCACTTCTCCTCTAACCTGATCCCATTTTCCAGATAAACAACCTAAGGAGCAGCCACCGTCTCTGGGGAGAAACTTTAATGAAGCTACTAATGGTCTATCTGTTCATCAAGTCTTAATAGCTATTTCATCAACTTTTTGTGTGTCTTCCTGTGGCATTGTAGCATTTCACTAGAGCAGGTGACCTACTTTGTTGGCAGACACAAGATTTAGGCCATTTTCCAGTGACCATTTGCATAGAGTCATTGTCCCCAGACTGTGACAGTGCATGGCAGGGACGTGAGGAGATGCGATGACCTCCACGTTCGGGAATCAGGCTTATTAACGACTTCTCACAAGTGCACAGCGCGCCCATTCTTTCCAGCCGAGAGCAGAAGTGAGTCAGTTCTGCACCTGGGGCTGAGGGTGGACAAGGGTCCCCACACAGTAAGCCAAGTGGCCTCTGTCTCCAACACTATGATGCCATCTTCTAAAGAACAAGACATCATAATTTTTTCTCCACTTACATTTCATTAATTGTTGTACAGTAAGTAGTGATTTGTAAGCATTCCTTCGTCCAGCATACTTTGCTGATATCTTGAAAAGCACATATCCATGAAATCCATCTTGCTGTGAGTGTGTTGGTCCTGATTCCAGGTGTGTGGATTAGTGTAGTCAGCGACCTGTTTACACGGTGTGCAAAGAGCGCCACATTCTTCAAAGGCACTGATGTGTGCCTTGACTGAAGGCTGGCTATTTCTTACAAAAACAGTAACCGTGAGTCAGAGCGAATGGGGAGCAGGAGTTACAGCCTTCTGGCATGTTTACTCAATTCGAAGGCTTGATATCATTAAACTTCTTCCTACCTTTGCCTCGGTAGCCTGGACACACTGTTGACAAGCTGTTAACTGGATAAAGTGCTCTGACTCATGGCTATGCCAGGCTTTCAGAAAACGGGATACGAAGGTCAACTTCCCCATTTCCTCACTAATTTACTCAATAAAGTCCCAAACATTTTGTTAATAACACCCTGTCAAATTCCATGGCTACATGATCATTTCCTTTTTGTGTTTGCTCCAAACGTTCATATCGTATGATCCCCACGAACCTCACAGAAGTTGTCTTGGCATGGCAACCTATTGGCCACTGTGAGCTAACTACTCTGCCCTGTATCACGGAGACAGCTGTGTCAAACCGGCACAGTGAGCACCAAGAGTGTGTCAAATATCCATCTGTTGAGATCTGGATAACATCTCCATGTGATAAATGGCAACCCGCAGTGCAGCGAAATCCAGGAGAGGCACAACACAGAGCCGCCAGCCGTTGAGAGTGAGAAGAGAAGCGGTGCCCTATTTCAGTGAGTAACTGCTACCGTACTGAGTCATGAGTCTCAACATCAATGTGTCATCTTCATCAGGTTCCTGTTCCTGCTACTCTACCTAAGGTTTTCAACCTGCTCACGGACAACAAAAACACAGCGTCTTTTATCAATGTAATTTTCATTGGGATTGATTAATAAGCAATAACAACTATTAAATTGTAACTTGTCAGCAGGGTGATATTCTTTGCTCTAATACTAACATTATATTGTAAGATGGACTCTTTGGGTTATAACATGTAACGTAATGACTGTTGTCGCGTGTAGGCTTTGATCGGCCTGCAGGGGTGGTCTCCTCGCCTTAAGAGATCCTCTTACCTCCACTCCATCGTACTCCTCATCAAAGAGTCTGAGGTACTCCCGGAGGTCCAGCTGGGTCAGCCATTTAGAAATGGCCATGTGTTTCATGGTACGCCCTCCGCTTCCCCCGTAGAGCGGTGTCGCCTGGGGGGGGGGCGTCTGTGGGTGTGCAGGAGGGCTCAGGAGGTTTGCCGTAGCATGAGGACAAGGCTTAAATCCACAGCATTCAGGACTGCACAGAATCAGAGTCCCTGATAAGGTAAAGATCAGAGGTTTAGAGAACATGGGAAGTTCTCAGCTGCATCACATCTGAGTTATATGTGATTCATTTGCAGTTTTTCAAAACTGACAAAATAATCAACGTTGTGACTAATCCAGACTCATAAAAATGATTTAGTCCAGATAAAAGGGTATTTCTACAGTGGATTTGTTTTTACACACCCTATGTCAGGAAGACATAATTTGGGTATCACTCAAATGTGCTTTTATCTTGAAACCAGTTACATGTGTTGTGTTTTTGTTGAGGATGTCTGCCCTAACCCCAAGATACATGCAAATATTTACTGATATATAAAAAAGTTAAATGAATATAAAAATCAATGCATAGCACTCCCAAAAGACTCTGAGACAGCGATACATTTCGTATGGAAAATGTAATGTGCTCCTTTGAAATCTGCGCCCTTGTGACAGTGCCCTGAGATATCACTTGAGCTCGGCCAGGTAAAGGTTACCGCATGTCATCACCTTTCAGACAAAAGTGCTTTGTCAAGTGCTGCCTCTCTACCAGTGGTGTCAGGTTACAGCAAGGAGGGGGCCAGACTCCCAGCTTGGCCAGTAACTTTCAGCTCTTTTTAAAATCCACACAAAGGGGAAGAGTTGGCAGCTCTGGGACTGTTCCATGTCAGGACGCCCGGGGGTGTCAGATCGAGATTAGTGCGCCCCAACATTTCTCCCTAATCTGGAGGCAGTATCAGACAGGTCGTTGTCAGAACACTGCTATCAATTGATACTTTATGTATTTAAAAATAAACATGTATTTTAACTTTCAGTCAGATGATTTGGGTGAGGTGGTATTTGGGCCCCCGGGGCCGGTTGGTGAATGCCAGGTGGGGTGCAATTTTTTTTGCCCAGAGCATGGTCATTGAAGTGAATTACTGTGGTGTAAAGTCAGCTCACTGAAGAGAGGTCATACGCTGTTAGCCTTTGGGTCGGAGCGTCAGCCGGGAGACGTAAAACCAGTGAGGGCATGAGGATCACCGGGATTTGGTGCCGAACGGGGAGCTTTCGCTAGGGTCAGCCCTCCCTGCGGTCAGCCTCGGCTTGAACAGCCACCATTGTGGGAGTGACAGTGATTAAGAGCTTTCACCCTCTGACACCCCTCCTGGTCCAGGCTCATTACCGATTCCTCCTGATGCAAACATCTGCCACTGACACAGATAACAACCTCCCCCCCCCTTCACTTTAATAACCCCTAATGCATTCCTAAATAATGGCCCATAAAAATCAGGCAGGAGGTGCAAAACCAGGGCTTGTAAAGCCCCAGGGGAACAATGCGGCTGTAAAGCCATCGTGATCCTCAGGGAGGACCACCACAGCTGAACTCACGGCCTGCGAAAGTGCTCCTCAAGGCAGCCAATCATGAAAAGACGTTCTTGCCAGGAATGTCAGCTGCTGCTACTATTGCTGCTGTTACATCGTTAAACATGCTGCTGGTCCTTAGCCTGCATAAAGTATATGCTTATCTTCTTCTGTTTACCCAAAGCATCCAGGACATATGGGGGTCTTTGAATCCTCTAATCTGTTACATCACAGGATTGACTATGCCACTTGCGTTACACTCATTTCTCTTTATATCATTCCATGGTGGCTCGGATAGCACTGGTGTATCACACCACCGGGGTTGGGGTTTAAGTCTTATCTCTGCTCTGCTTGTGTGGTGTTTGCATGTTCGATTCATGTTGTGTGGGCTTCCTCCACATGCTCTGGTGTTGAAATATGGGCAATTATGCGTTTCTGTGCATTAGTTTGCAATTGGCACCATCAGACAGTCCTGGTGAAGCAGATTCTCACTTGATCCGGATGCTTTTACTTGGTGCCTTTCTAAATGGTATGTGGAAACACTGTAGAGAGTCAGCCTGTAGCTCCAGCTGGGAGAACTCAGAATGCCACCAAAAGAGCTCAGCCCTACCTACTGCATTCGTGCACAAAGACACATGTACACATGGCCTGAGCACAACTTGTGTGGGTGATGATCCAGAACTCGAACAGTTTCCTTGACCCTCGTAGAGCGTGGGATTGAGTTTCAATGGCGCCGGTGAATGGGCTAAAGGCAGAGCACCATCTCTAGAGATCTCTCAGTTCCTGGGAATGTCCTTGGGAACTTTCACACCACAGGAACCAGAACCTTTTTCTGAAACTAGCAACTTTTCTCATGATCACAATTCAGGAGCCCGGCCCCATTGTAGTTACCTGCAGGCAGTTCTGGAACCATTTTTTAGTGCCTACTCCAGACTAGGTACTTTTCATTGGGATACAAACTACTGGGGAGGCGCTAACAGTGATAATTAATTCCATCAATAACCTTCTGTGTTTTTGTGTCATATCTTCGGTGCCAGCACTGAAACTTGCCAGTGCTTTTTGGCGAAATGATATTATATCTTTTTTTATTTTGTGGAAAACAAAAGATCGATCTGCTGGCCAGATTTAATAGTGAGTTATAGACATGTTACGGGTTATATAAATAAAATATAATGAAAGGCTGTATCCCATTTTGATCATGATCAATCCCCCCATTAGCTAACAAACAACTAACAAAACAGCTTATTTATCCTCCATTGTTTTGACGTGGAGGTGTAGTTTTGTACAAAATGATGAGTGAAGATTAACCTACAACCATTTTGCTTCACACAAGTTTATTTAGCAGGAAAATCCCAGTTCCTCTGGTGAGGTGTGAAAATGTCACATGGCCAGGATGCTACAAAAGTCCCTGGTCGAGACAGCCCAGGAACTCGGAGCCAGGGCTAGGTTCCGGAACTTCAGTGTGAAAGCTCATCTTATGCATCTGTGGGACTTTGGGGTGTGTGGAGAGAGGCACGAGACTTTGACACACCATAGGCACACTAACTCATTGGCCATGAGTCATAGCAATGCTGCACAAGGCCTGCTAGGCCCGAGCTGAGCCCCCCCCCCCCCCCCCCCCAGCATAAGAGATAAGAGGCTAAAGCAGGCACTGATGTGAATACTGATGAAGAGCGCTAACCTGGCAACCATTCAAAAAGCAGCTTAACTTTTCAGTATCATGCTGGTCATGCGTGCATTTCCGAAATATCGCTTCAGACTCATTACTTAATTGCTGCTTTGTACTGAATAAAAATGAGGCGTGACAAGACCCAGAAAATAGACATCTTTTAAGATATGAGTGTACTGTAGGAGACTAAAATCACTCCACTACCTCTATGTGTTATCCTGCATAGGGGTGCATTATTCCTTTGAAACCTGAGCATACTTACAGAACCTTGTTAAAAGCTATTTTTCACATACCTGTCCTACATCATGGATTATGGAGGCTCATCAGATTGAAATGTACCTACTTCACCTCTTACTTCCCATATTAATTATAGTAGGACATTCATACTTTTCGAAAAATAAAACTACGATTTAGCAGAAAATGCTAATGGTACCTTAATTTAACATATTAGCTATTCAGAATTATAGAAAAATAAGCATAATTTCTTATACAGCACACTGTAGAATCTGATTAGGTAATAATAAATGAATTTATTTCTCACGGTTGATACTCCATAAATTGTTGCTCCTTGTTTCCACTAAATCGAAACCAAAAACTCAATGAAATGTTGTACTTGATCATAATCTTTTTTTCTATCAACACTATGACGGATTAGGTCAAAGTCAATATCTAACAATGTACAATAAATTAGCCAAGTTTTTATTTGAAATAGCAGACTTGTTAATGCAGCCAAGATGTTAATTATGGGTGACAACTCCAGACTTCCGGACAGTTCCAGACTTGCCAAGGGATACAGTGGCTTCACACACAGCAGATCCCTGGCACAGAATTAATTCTCATATTCAGATATGGTTAAAAATATAAAAATAAATAGTTCAGGCCTATATTTTCTTCTTTTTATATATATATATATATGCGTGCATTTTTTTACATTTAGCTAAAATTAAACATTATAATAACACTAAAGTGACTATACATCCTCTTTCCCAGACTTTTCCTCCTTTTCGGAACCTAAAAATGCCTGAAATGTCTGCGATTTCACTTTGTTTCATGTTGACATTTACTTTCTGTCTGCATATTTGCATTGCTTTGACGCCTCTCTTGGCATCCTGCCCTCAGCGTCCCCTCTTTTGCAAAACAAAATATAGTATCACTCTAATTAAACTTTGATTTGACATTCCAATGGATACTAATAAAACTTTATTTAGGTGTCAGTAAGATACAAATAACAGGATTGTTCTTGCCAGGACAAGGACAATGTGAAATATGGCAGGGCACCAGCATTCCATTCGGGCCGGGAAGCCCCTTCCCTCTAGTAATAAATGTTCATACTAACAGGAAAAATTCCACCTTGCACCCAGGGCCAGTTGGCATCCATTGCCAGGGGTACGCTGCCACCAGTGACACCAGCTATGAAGAAGTGAGGTTCTTCTTACAGACCTGGCATGCCTAAGGTAACATCACTGCTCAGGTAATGGTGCATGGAGTAACCTTTCGAGTAGTGCTGCCTGAGCCACATTGCTCAAGCATTTTCCCATTGAGAATGGGCAACAAATTTCCATCGGGACAATTTTGATCTCAGTGGGCAACTTTTTTGATATCTTCCAATCAGACTGCTAGCAGCCACTCACATGACCGACTTGGACTTACACTGGTAAGTTTTCATGTGTAAATCCAAAACAGGGAATTTGCCTCATAATTTAATGTGCTCAGGCTGTAAATTAGAAACATTTTTTTAACAAAACGCCAACTGTCAGTTGTCATGATTAGCTCTCCTGGTTGCCTATTGCTCAAAAAGTTTCCCCGTGTATCATGACCCTAAGAGTTTGAACATTTTTGCGTAAGTAAAACTCCCACAAGCTAAGAGTTTCTCCAGGTGGGATAGGGTAGCACGGTGTGATGTGCAGATGGAAGCATGGAATAGTGAATGTTATTTGGGTTCGGAAGGGGAGTTGGATTTAACAAAACCAGGCAGAGGAAGAAAAATACTGTATAGCAACTCCA